CTCGAGTGTTGAAGAAACAATTTCTGCAATATATTCCATCTTCAATTCATTAACTCATAAGCGGAACGTAGGCTGAATGTACCTGTAAGGCCTACGTTTAAATTTAATGGACCTTTCGCGAGTGCAACAAAATTACTGTACAGCAGGGGCGAATCCAGAGATATCCAAAAGTTGGGGCCGAAGTTGGGCCGTGATCGAGACAACACTGTTGTAGGGGGTACTAGGGGGTTCGGGGGCATGCCCTGCGAAATTTATCTCTTCTAGACGCCCGAAAACAGCATTTGAGGCGTTCTGGGCTATCATTTTTTCTTTATTCTTTTTTTTTTCTTCTTTTTTTACCTTCCCAAAAGGGGGGGGGGGAGAGCCGCCCGGCCCCGCCCTAATTTCGCCCCTGGTACTGACTAATTAGAACAGACCGTGAATGTTATATGCGCTTGAAGTTGGTGAGTGGGCGAGGCTGAGTGGAAATGAATCTTAATGAATTTGGTAAGAGGCCCTCTATAAGTTTAAAGTTAACTCGGACCATGACTGGGACACAGTTGCGTCGTACGATGAGTCGAATGGTATAAAATTGATCAAAATGCGAGCTATTATAGACCTATATATACAACAGCGATCATACGATAGATAGATCTAGTCATATCACGAGTTGTTGGAGTTTGTGAGACCAACTACGAAAAGAGTAAGAGATAACACGCGTAACATAACAAGTGATAGGCCTATATATAGAAATGGATAGGGTCTAATTAAGTAAGCCTGGCCTTAGGCTATGTCTTTGCCTTCTACCAAAAAAGTACTCAGCTCAGAGACTGAGCTACTACTATTGGTACTTACTGCAGTGGCCAGAATCTAAGATAAGAGAGGGCAGATTCATGCACAGTCGCCGTTTTTCGGTGGTAGTAAGAGGCCTAACGTAGTCTCATAGTTACCAACCTGAGAGATTTGAAATGCGTGAGTAACTATACCTGTTGGCTTGGGGGTGGGGGTGTTAGGTCCAAGCGGCAGGGGAACCCCCCCCCCCCCCCCGCCACTCCGACGATCTGAGCATTTTTTGTCTGTTTAAAACGATTTCAGGGAGTGTTTGTCGATACAGGTACATAAGCAAAGATTTTATTAAAAAAGCCAATTTGAGTTTCTATGTAGGATGTTTAATTTGAGCACCCAAAATATATAGACAAACATAAACATTTCATTACTGATCAATTTTTACTATTAGTAACTCGTTAGTGAAATAAGTAGGGCCTTCAAGTAAATACTGTACTCTCTCATGACTCAAGTTACTGCATTTTTATAGTTTTAATACAACCAATTTCCTCTAATAATAAATTTTCCCCTGAATTTGTGATAAATTGTTATCACGCATAGACTTGTGTTAAATGCATGACAAATTTAGGATCACGCATGTGTTTCTGCAAAATGCGTGTTTATCCAAAATCACTTTGAAATGCGGGACCGTCCTGCACGATGCGAGACGGTAAAAATGTAGTCTTCTGAACTTGCCCTGGGCCAGGGTGGGACCTAGAAGCTATAGATTTCAGTTGAAAAACGTTTTAAGCTTCTTACTATTTCTTTTATTGCGAAATGTCTTTATGATTTTAATATTTTTAATTACATAACAATCAACTCTAGACACGGTGATCATCTTAAATTTGTACATCAATATGCTCGAACAAATTCTCTGAAATATTCTGTGTTTCATTTGTTTCCACGCGCTTGGGAGGAACTACCTGTAGAAACTAGAGATTTATTGGTTTTAAATCTTAAAGCATTTTTAAACGATCTTAAATTATATTTTAAATAAGTTTTACAATTTCTATATATATATTTATTGTTAAGGCAAATTTTACAGATTTTAAGTATTATTTCAATTGCTCATTATTATTTTATGTGTAATCGGAATAGTGCATTAGGAGACCTACATGATAGTGATTTGGTTCACTTTTAGGAATCCTGTCTCAGCCTGTTTCATATTTTTTATGCTTTTATTTTGTTGTATTGTAACCGGTTGTTTTTTTTAATGTATTTTATTGAGACAAAATAAATGAAATGAAATGAAATAGGGAAAAGTAGGCCTCCCTAGTTTTATACCCTATTCAGATTAGACTTTGCTTTGCGACCGGTTGCGAAGTAATCGATGGTAAACAGTTGTAATCCAAATTGTTCGCAACCATTCGCAAACTTCAACAGCATTCAGATACCTTTTACTTTGATACTTTACGTCACTAGCAACGATATAGGTCGTCCTGTTTTGTTTGACCTCAGCCAATCAGTGCCTGAGGAATCCATTGCAATCGGATTCTGTGGTAATCGGGAGTAATAAATATTGTAGCACCCAATCGCAACGGGTAACATTTTCGAAATCAATTACTTACTAATTACTGTTGGTGAGCTTTCAGACACGATTTTAATTTGCAATTGGATGTCGCAATTGCTCCTAACCGATCGCAATGCGAAGCTAGTCTGAATGGGGTATTAATGTAGAAGAAGAAATGCTTTCATGAAGAAGAGTAAGATTGCTTGATAGCTAACATTTACTTTTATTTATTGCATTTATATACATACAATTAATTAATTAATTAATTAATTGATTGATTGATTGATTGATTGATTGATTATTAATTTATCTTCTTAGATTTCCATTTATTATGGAACCAGTCAAAACAATACGACATATCCTTACTGTGGAACCTGTATCTTTCTTGTTTTACACCTCCATGTTTCTACAAAATGGAGGAGGACAGCAATTTGTATTTTACAAAGTTTGTTTCCTCAAGTACAACCAATCTGACATCTGCTGGAACTTGACCCTTGGACAGAAGATGCAGCAGTACCAAGATATGGAGGATTACTCAGTATCTGCTACATCGCATTGGGTGATACTTTTAAACCTCCCTGTAACCATTCCTGCTATCTTCACTTCAATCTGCTTTGGCGCCTGGTCAGATAAGTACGGACGCAAGCCAATGATGATACTTCCAGCATTTGGTTTCATTGTTTTATCAATCTTCTATTTGTTTGAAGCATTGAACATGGAAATGCCACTAGAGTTTTTGATAATCGGTAACCTAATTGCAGGAATCTGCGGTGGGTTTGTCGCAATAACCTTCGCTACCTTTAGTTACATCGCTGATGTAACTACAAAGGAGAATCGTACCGTGCGAATGGGTATTCTACAGTCCATGACGTTCTCTAGTAGCATTGTAGGTCTTTTAACTTCAGGCATAATTGTGGAAAATCGTCAGTATGGATTCATCGTTCTTTATTGCCTTGTTGCCAGTTGCAATGTCATACTTATTGTGTACACTCAGTTCTGGTTGCCAGAATCCATTGGACCAAACAAAGACGCATATTTTAAATCCATAACCAAAGAAAACAATAGAGGGAATACAGATGAGGTCACTGAGTTCAAATGTAAGGTTTGCTGTACAGATATGTGGAATCCTAGAAACTTCAAGATTGTTTACCAGGATGTAATGAAAAAAAGAGCAAATTTTGACCGTTTTATGCTGTTTTTGTTGTTTATGTCTTTGTTTATACTACAGATTGTTTTGGCAGGTAGGCTTCCTTAGAAAACATTCTTTCCTGTCTTTTGATGCTTTGGGTGTCTCTGTCTAAATAAATAATAAATTATGACATTGTACACTCTTTTAATTAAAATTTTTTTTGTTTACAATTTATTAATACAGGTGATAGTCAGATATTTGCTTTGTATGCGAAAGATTCAATTCATCTTAGCCCAGCTGAAACCGGTATGACAATAATTAACTTAATTTACTTTACTTTTCAATGGCAATAAAACTCTTTAAATTAGTGAGAGCATTAGGTGTAGTGATGTCTTATTAGACCCATATATGGGCAGGATAATGTCATATCATGATGGTCATATCACATCCATATATGAACATAATGATGTTATATCACTACTACTGTATAATTAATCAGCATGATGTCATGTTTTTTTTTTTGTTTTTTTTTAAATATATTTTTTAGTTTCTATTTTTTTTTAATTGTGTTATTTTATTATGTTATTTAACCCAGGTGGGACCCTGTCGGGTACTCCCCTCCCGTGTCAGGAGGGTTCTGAAGCTCATCATATGGGCAAGGTTGCTCATCTCCCTGTCAGGTCACACTATACCTAATGTACAGTGTATACCTGATGATTACCCAACCCAATGGACCTTTCCGCTAAGCTCCGCCCCTTGGATATTGTTGCTAAGGTCTCACAAGACGGCAGTGTTAAAACATACGCGAACACGTGCGTTTGTGGGACAACACGTGTGTTTGTAAGACGCGCGCGTATTCCTAGCGCTGTTCTGATTAGTCAGTTGTTAAGTTTGATTGACACTCCGGAAAGGTCTATTGCATTACACCACATGATATATCAACAGTATGTTGTGTGTTAGTTTTCAATTTTGATTGTAAAATTTTAATGTATTGTAATATACTTTTTGTGTTTTACTTCTTGTATTCTTCTTCCCCTTGGTGGGGTTTATTTTGAATAAATTGATATGTTTACTGCTTGTTTCTTTTAGGTTACTACACAGCATCAAAGAATGCTGCCATGTTTGTAGTTGCCATAGTAACCTTGTTGATTGTGAGGAAATTAAATCTAAATGAAATCAGATGCTGTATATGTGGGATACTTATCGCTGTGTTTGGATTCCTGGGTGTCAGCCTAGCACGCTCCCAAGACGTCTTGTGGGCTAGTAAGTATTTTTGGCTAGAAAATTTTGTGACTAGTAATACATGTGGGCTAGGAATTATGGACTAGCAATACAGTAGTCAAGAGTGACAGAGCTGTTGGGGGTCAGGCTCCCTTAAAATATCTAGTGGGACCAAGAAGCTGTGATTTCATGGGTTGAGTGTTTAATCAATTTTTCAATATTGTTTACAGTGTTAATCTTCTTATCACCGGTCGGTGTGGCAGTGTCAATCGTCAGAGGTGCTATTTCAAAAACAGTTAGCCCAGAAGAACAAGGTTTGTGGTACAGTTTAATTTCATGTACACATAGAGTTGCACCAAGTAAGGATCCATTAGATAAAGTCCTTTGAAAATATTGTAAATAATACAAAGCTTCTGTTATTGTTGGGAGCTTTGAATTGTACGATGGTAAGACTTAAGCTCTGTCTAAACTATCAAATTTTGTGTGACAAAAAAGTGTGATATGCCCATATATGGGCATGATGACATCACACCATAACCATATATAGGCATAGCATTACTATATATGGGCTTGTTACATTTTTTTTGTCAAAGAAAATTTGATAGTCTGGATAGAGCTTTACATAGTGACGTCACTAAGAAGTCATCTGCACATTTGGGAACATTGAGTTCTTGGCGTTTGAATTCTGGACAAGAATGGTCATGGATGAGTGAATCCATTTTTAGAGTTACGTCGTCACACAACCTGGAAGCAAAACAATATTTATAACAATATTTTAACATTAATGAACATTTTTTATATTACAGGAAGTGTGTTTGCGGCTTTGTCTTCCCTGGAAAACCTCATGGTGTTTGTTGCGGTATTCATCTTTAATAGCCTTTATCCGGTTGCGAAGGGTGCGCCTGTATTTGGTGGTGGCTATGTGTACTTTTACATGGCTCAACTACTCTTAATTCCTTTCATCTTGATGATGTAAGCATCAAACTATAATTTTTATTATCAAAATATTTTTTTAATGATTTTTAGACTTTTAATTGAAGATCCTTAAATTAATTGTTAAATATCTATGTATGCATCTGTACATTGACAAGAAAATATTTTCTCAATATAATTTTTAATTGGAAACTTATGTAAGTGAACAGTATATGCAATTTATATATTGAGTATTACCATCTTCTCAAAGCCTTCTTTCTGTCTCCAAATGCCGTACCAAAACCTACTGTCAATGTTCTTTTACTTTTGCTTCTGCCTATTTCTGGAACCAACTTCCAAATTGCATAACTTCTTCCAACTCTATTTGCAACTTTAAGTCACAACTTAAGACCTATTTGTTTTCCAGAGGCTTTTCACATGCGTTGCGCCTTTGATCGCCATATAAATTTGAAATATTATTTATTCTTCCTATATTCACTGCTATATGTTCCTATAATGAATAATGCAATTATTATACATGTTCTGCATACATTCCTATATTTATTTATTCTTTCTTTATACTGTAGGCACTTTCAGTATCTATATATTCCTATATTATTTCCTATACTGCTATTATTGAAAATGCTATACCAAATTCCTATATATGTTCTATATATTCCTATATGCATTCCTGTTTTGAATAATGCCATTCCATACGTTCCTATAATACTGTACATACAGTTGTACTGTATTGAAAATACCATCCCTAATATTTTCCTGTATGTTCCGATAAAAGTTCTTCCATCTCATCGAACGTTGATAACATATACACTAATTATATTGAATATGTTCATTGTAATTTTTTAGAGTTTTCTAAACTTTATATGATTTTGAAATGTAGAATATGAACCAGATATTTTTGTTACTCTGTAAATTATAAACTTAATTATCCTTCTTATTTCAGGTGGGTTGGAGACTTGATGGGGTTTGTAGTGAAAGACAGATTGATTAATGATTTTATTGGTGATGTAGTTACTTAAGTGCTAAACTGAACAATTAGATGATTACTTATTATAGCCTTAGCACTTAGTGTACACGCCCAAACTCCTTTTAATGAATTCTGATTACCGAACTAATGTTTAATGTCTGTCACATGACATGACATGACATGACATGTAGCAGCCAATCACAGCAAAGGGGTCATAGTTTTAAGTTTCCTTTTAAATTTTTATATGACAAATGAATCTTGTTTTTATAGATGTAAAAATATAATATGGACTATATTTATATATAAATTAGCACTCCAGATATTTGCACCAAAAAAATATATATATATAATAGAGATAATTGAGGCCAAAAATTTGTGTTACACAAGCTCAATCTTGAATGGTTATCAGCAGTGGAATAAAATAATGTAAATATTGTTTACATAGTACATTGTTAAAATACAAAATAATGTATTTTATAGTAAAATGGTATATTTTTTTTGTTTTAATATTTGTAGATATGATATATCCATAAGATATGTACATAAGCATGCTAATGTTAATGAGCCAGTAGAAAGATGAATGTATTTTATACTGAAAAAATATGAGTATGTTCTTAATATTCTTATGATGAATTTGATAATAGATAATTATATAAATAGCAAAGCATAATATTTTAACATATTTTGTACTGAAATAAAACTACAGTATTTTTATTTTGATAAATAGTTATGAAGTTACAGGAGTTTCAACATACACCTGTTTAAAAAACAATAGAGAAATCAGCCTTCATAATTTATGATTTGGGCATTTCTCAGGCAGAAACCAGAGATCGGTATAAAATTATACCTCCCTGAAGAAACCATCATCAAATCAATAAAAATTGTTGTTTTAACATTGAAAATGGAGAAAATAACAGCATAGCATGATAAAGGTTAGTTTAGTGTAAAAAAATGTTGAAATTCCAGCATCTGTCTCTTATACACATCTATATGTGTATAAGAGACAGTATATATATATATATATATATATATATATAGTAAGGTGTAATACATAAATTGTGTATATACTGTGCACATGATAGGTGTACAGTACTTGTGATAATGTTAATTAGTTGATACAACTCCACCAGATCATAAAGGGGCCCCCATGATGTTACCGACCTCTCTGCATTTCCAAAAGCTTGTCAGCCTGTAAAATAATTTGAAAACCAACAACTGACCAATTGGAACAAGGCAAGGTATACGCACATGTCCAACAAATACACACGTGCTGTCCTACAAACGTACATGTGTACGTACATTTACACTATCATTTTGTAGGACCTTCGCAACAATGTCCAAGGGGCGGGGCTTTGTGGAAAGGTCCATTATTTTTTTATCAAACCCATATATAGATATGATGATGTCATATCATACCCATATATGGACATGATTTCATATCAAAGTCATCACATGTATGTTTGTACAATTTTGAGATGTATATTGTTTTACTGCAATAATTACTGTGCAAACTTATAAATTTTCAATAAATTATAATTAGTGTAATTATTTGTATTTATTTTATTTATTCTGCTGTAGTACATGCACTCTGATCATGCAAATGAATACACAATACAGGTATACTTCCCATAGAACCAAGAAACAGAATAAACAATTTATGAAAGAGTTACTACCCCTTATTTATATACGGTCGGATAGTGCCCTTTGAATAAATGCCTCAACGCCCAAATGTAAACCAAAGCTGTAAATAAAACTATTGGAAGCAACATCATTCTCAACACATTTTTTTATGTTGTACTCATTTTTTTATGTTTTATTTATTACGGTATAAAAGATAAATACAAAAGCGGTAGTATAGCACAAGGCTGAAATTGTCTATATTACAAAAAACTGCACATTGAAACACTTTAACAATTACAAAAATTACAATTATAATAAAGCAATTAATTTACTATTAGTTGCACAATGGAATACTATTAAAATTACAAATAATTGCAATTGCAGAAAAGAAAAATAATTTACTATATGCAACAGTTACTAAATAGACCTACAATCAAATACAGTACTTAAAATATAATACTATAAAAATAGATCCAAGTTTACAGTGAAATTAAGGGGTACATTTGAGTATAATTAGTACGTATTCATTGTAGATTACACACAAATAAATAAAAATAGACACCTCCCCCGAATTTAAACCCCCGGACCCCCTCAAAAACCCTTCTCAACAAAAGCCTCGGGGCGTTTATTTATTTGAATAAGGACACGTTTCGGGAACTTATTTGAATAAGGACACGTTTCGGGAACATAGGTCTTTTTCACGAATCGGTAGACATCTTCAAGTCTTTTTAAGAACATTTTGCTGGAAAAATTTTTTGGATACGACGCCCCGTTATGGAGTTATGATTTTTCAAAATAACATGTCAGAAAATCAGCCCAAAAGCTTATCCTATTTCTGTTGGTTACGCACCGCTGATTCGCAATGTTTGTCATCACTTCATGATGTCTACCGATTCGTGTAAAAAGCCTATTGTTATTAAATGTTCTGATTATCATCATTTACTTCTAGACCATACGATATAGACCTACCAAAATAAACATTTGTAAAATATTGAGCAGAGTTTTATTTGGAATAAACAAAATTGTTGCTATCAAGTATCAGCATCACCAATCGCTGACGCCGATATGAATTTTTTTATCTACAACAATTACGTCATCTATCTATCTAGGTGCTATATAAGATCCTGACGTTGGCTATAGGCTAGTACAGTACTCATCAGTGTGACCACTGCTTGGGGTATTTACCCAAGATCTTGGGTATTTTGACTTGGTCTTGGGTTCTTGGGTATTCCTTTCAAATCCTTGGG